ACAGACGGACTCAGACTCAGTGTGACTCACCGGCCCAGCAGGGACCCGCTCAGGGCGGCTCAGGGAGTCCGGTTCTCCTGATGGAGGGACACTTGTTCTTCCAGCGGGACGGACCTGCAGGCGAGACCCTGCACAGCGCGGACACGCGCAGCCCCACTGGCGCGAGCTCGAACCTTTGTGCTCCAAACAGCTCGAGACCGGAAGTCCCTCCCCGAGAGAAGAGAGGAGACCCCGCCCCCTTCCTGTACAGTTTGGGAAATACAACACAGTCATACACGCTCATACACATCTTCTCGTGTATTTGCATGAAAATATGTTTTACAGCTGTAAGCAGGTGTTTTGTTTAACCGCCTAGTTTATATCGATTGATCCCGGATATCTACTGTAAAATGGTTGTTATTGTCCGGATTTGTTTTAAATACGTTTTTATTTAAACACCAGAAATACTAAAAAGGAGACAGAATATTGAAGTAGCCGGATAGGCTTGTGAAGGACGAGAGAGCCGGGAGGAACTCCCAGTAGATACTGCCTTACAACCAAGAATGAAGCAATAACATTTAAAACTGTTGCTCGGTTTTATCGTGTTAAACTAACACTTTCTAGATTTAAACATAAACAAGATCATTTGTGTGTCCAATAGGGCTGGAAAGAAATTCTCACAAGTTTGTTTGTGGTTTTTATTTATAGGTATTTTGGGTCGACTTTCAAAACTTTAAGCCTTTAAGTGTGAATATTAGATTTAAGGACCTTGATGTTATATTAGACTTTGTAAGATGGAATGAGAAAAAATAACATTTCTTTCTAGATCATCTGTTAGTAAAACTGGGTCAATATCACATTCATAAAATGATTCTCCCTTCTTTCGAGAGGAAATGGGAGTATTAATTAATCTCTTGATAAAAAGTTGAGGTTATAAATAATGAAAATACCAACATGCAATGCATGGAAATTATGTCATAAAAAAGTAAATTTATTTTAAGAGAAATGCTTCATCAACCTATGTATTAATCACAATT